AATTACAAGCAATCGCGCGAGGTTCCGCATCCAAGCACGCACACTGCTGCAAGTGGGCGTCGCAAACGTGGCCCGGTCGCCCCGCCCACTTCGAGAGCGACTCTCTTCTAGCGACTTTCCAAGATGAATTTTCAGTTCAGTGACACTTCTTGTATACTTGACTAGGGCCAATGCATCTTTCCACCTCATTGGAATCGAATGGTCAAAACCCTGCTGGGACTGTTGCTTCAAGCACTGTCCATTAAGTGAACGCTGCTCACCGCCGGCGAGGGTGTACCCGAACCGACCTATAGGTTGGTGGTTCAGCGCACACCTGTACCCATTGTTTCCCGGTGGGTTGTTCGACAAGCGAACCTGGAACTTTTACCATGGGCTCTGGTCAACTCGACGCTTGCCCCGCCCGCTGTGGGCGGTGCTCTGCCCCGCTGAGTATATTCAAATTTCGCATAATCAGTTGTTATTTATTATAAATATGCTAAAACTAACTTATAATTCACTCCTTAAAACCGTGCCAGCACATACCCTCATACCTTTTCCACACAAGCGAAAGAAAGTAACAATGAATTCCGGCAACTATCGCTTTGATGGGCTCTCTTTGTGAAATGTTCTAAATTCTTCAAATGTGGTGTGTTAAGCTGGAAATTACTTTCTCGACACCTGCTTGCATCTCTTCAAGTTGCCACATCAACGTTTGATTCTCTTTTTAAATGTGGATTTCGTATCTTCTGCTCGCCTTGTGTGTCCTTTCTAGCGTTCTTTGGTGTCACGAGCGACTCGACCGATTTCTGGACACGTGCGACGAACCTTTTGTTTACGTGTCTCTCATGGTATTTCCAGACAAGCACAGCTAATGCTGCAGATCGAGTGATGAAAGCGAAGCTTGGACCAAATGCCACTCCAGTTTGGGTGGGTTGCTCATAATGGTTTCATCTCATAACAACTAACTCCTTGTCTAAATATCACCATACCACTGAACCACCGCGAGATGCTTCATCAAAAAGTAAAAAAACCCAAGTCTCAGCGCCCATGACAGCCTTATCGTGGTAGAGAAATCAAAGTACGGGAAAGGAAGAATGCACGGTGGCATGAGAAAAATGTAATCATGCCTTCTGTATAGAATGTGCGGAGCTTGCGATATCTTCGAAAGTTGCTGGAGACCGACAAAAACGAAAATGCAAAGCAAAAATCACGGTAGCAAGGGTGCTCCATCCACTATCGACTTTTTTTCAATTATGCCAGTAGATTCATCTGGGTAATAGGACCGTTGAAAGAGACTACTGAACATCTCAGCAAGATGGACCGCTTGCACAGAAAGCGAACAGCGTTTAGTATGTTAATATGATAGTGTACTCCAATCTATTACTATTGAAGCTTCATGAGTTGTGAGAAGACGAATCAGGGTCAAAAGGTTGACGCGAGAGGAACGTCACCGACGGCAGATCCCATCGTGAAAACGCCGGTGCGTTCACATTGCGCTTCGTCAAATTCGCTCAAATACCGTCTGCGCAGTTACAGCGCCCACTCCAATGTGGTATTCCGTCAAATAGAATGTTCTACTTGTTCTCTGTACGCCCAATCGTTTCCACGATCCCTCACTTTATCTTGACACCGTAAAACTATAGTCCACTGCATAGAAAAGCGAAAGGATTTGTAGTGAGGCGATACCGATGAGTAAGAAATTCAGCTTGTTCTGGCTTTAATATCGCTGAACCCATTTATCTCAATTGTGGTTGTGGAGCAAGACTACGCAAACGCACCCAAATAACATTTGGCTCCGATAAGTTCTTATATGTGATCATAGCAGTGTCACTTTTCTTCATACCACGAGTAGCGGTAGTTGGAAGTGGCGACTTGGAATTTCAGTTTAAATTCCATTGACGGTCTTGACCGGTTGCTTTTTTCCTGTTTTCGCTAGTCTCAGACGTATGAGATTCCTTAACAAACATACACATTACACCTATTTATCTAATTGCATGTGCGCCCCGGGCTCAACCAACAAAAGAATAACAAGTACCTAACACTGGAAGACACAAGCCGGATTTAACAGTCCGGTGAGTGACCGCTACCGTAATCCACGTTGGCACTGGAGCGCGCAGCTACACTACTGATGTGTACCCACACGTTTCAGCACCAACGTGAGAGGGTATAGCGCCTCGCTGGTGAGTACCCCCTCCACCACAGCCGCCCTTGGGCGACTATCCAAAAATACACGCAGCACTCGCCTCGCCGCTTGCGCGGGCGCGCGCTTCGCGCGCAGGGCAAGGGAGGTTAGCCCCGGGGTGCCGGCTAAACCACTTGCCGGCACATTCGACCAACTGCCATACTCCTCCTATATACCAGCATGGACGCTCCGTACAAGAGCCAGGTTCTATCACGCCCATTCTGTCGCCGTAGGAGTGCGCGGAAAAACGACAAAAGGGCACGTCGAATTCTAATCGATGACACGTGACGTTGCGCGCCAACCAGTCACGTGTTACGGTTGCGGTCACTCACCGGACTTAATCCCACTAATCTGGAAAGATTGTTGCAAGTCAATAAGGAACAAAAAGGTGGTAAGCGGCGTGAGATACTAAAGATGTTAACAAAACCTCCACGCCGAAAAAGAACTGAAGAGTGTCCTTACCTCGGATAACGCCGCAACATTTTTCTAAATTGAGCTGTGCCTCTATGCAGAATGAAAATTTTAGAACCTCATTTAAAGGCATGTCAGGATCACATTGGTGTGGCTCTTGCACACGAATGTGAATGTATTGGTGCGAAATGGGCCGGCAGTGAAGAAAAAAGGAAAAGAATCCGTCGAAAACGCTTAGGGGCTCACTCACCTTCCTAATCGGCTGTGCTAAGGGAATGAGAGACTAAGCGCGGAGAGGAGAGTATGGGCGAGAGAGCGCTACAGATGAGAGAGCGCCAGACAACAGCCTGATAAAAGAAAAAATCTGCAGCTTCAGCAGCTTACTTTGCAAGGCCCAAGCGCTCTTGTCGGTTGGTTTCCGTGCACGGGAACGCCACATTTGTGATTGTCCTCTAGGGTCTATACTACAGACCGAAGGGAAGCGTTCATTGCCTGGGTTGTGACCTCAAGCATGAACAATAAACGATAACACAAATGCAGTTGAAAATCGTGTTCCCCAATGAACATCCACTTCACAAATTGCTTCTCAAGTTTCTCTGAAGTGAATCTCTAAGCGGAACTACCAGTTCATTTTGTTAGTGCGAAGGTTGTTTTACCACACTGTAAGTAAAAACCTCCTCCAGGACGCAGTGTCAAATATGTCCTGGGTGCTGGTCAACTCCGATCCACTTATGGAGTTCGAGAGACCGACGACTCCAAAGTTATCGGCATTGGGGGACTCGGAGTGCACAAGCTGAACCGCTTAATGAGGTTGGTTTTGTTCCCAAAATGATTCTCGCCTGAGGTTCTATAAGCTTTTAAGTTCTATGAGCATCAACATAACATTTTTTTTTCGTAGGAATGGGATCGCATTCTGAAGCTAAGAGAGCACACTGTTCTCATCTCGTTCGGCAGCATAGCAAAAAGCAAGTTTATGCCCGAATCGATGAAGAGAGCTATCATCAACGTCATCAAGTCGTAAGTTGTACGGTACTATCACGTAAGAAACTTACGCTGGCATTCCAACCTATGTGTACAACTTCTATACGTGCTAGTATCGTATAACTTCGTATAATGTATGCTTTTATTCCTATCAGAATTCAGCGTCCAATTCAAAACTTAGCCTTCAGCAAGTCAAATCAACATCCATTCCAGAACGACCTACGCTCATGTTTGCTCCGCCATCTCACCCCCCGAGAATCTCTTTTGTGTGTTCGACTAGATCAACCAGTTCGGGTTGAATTTGATTTCACATCACTGACAAGCCTTTCAGCAGCTCACCAGGAAATCTCATAAGCAAGAACGCTGTAATTTTTGCAGAAGGAGGCGCGCTTTTTTGTTCGCCTGCCATTTCCAGAATCCTGCACTGATGATCTAATAAGTGTTTTCGTTCTAAAGAAGGTTGGTGGAATAAATAGCAAATAGACATCAATTTGTACATTGCACAGGCCATAATGATAGCGCTTACTCCGACAAACTTCGAAGCTGTCATCGAGTTGACTCATTTGCGGGTAAGCTTTGTTCTGGGGTAGCACTGAACAAGTTCTTCCGGCAGATGGCGCCTTGTTCTGGAGATGGTGAGTGCAAAGGGATCTGCTATCGCTTATGTAGGGACATCTGAGGAATATATTGCCATTCGTTCTTCGTGAATGACGGCAATTTGTGCGCCGAAAAGTTTGTTGGTGTGTTTATGCGAAAATGAAAATTCAGAATAGTTTTTTTGCACTCCCTCTATACATCAAACCGTTCCAGTTACCCGAACATCACCTTCATCTGGAAGTACGAAGAACCAGACGACGCAATCTTCAATGGAACAGACAATCTTATTCCTTCAAAATGGACGCCACAAAGCTGTTTATTAGGTAAGCACTGAATACGTGCAAGCTCATCAAATGGTCTAGAGGCGGAGCTCACGATTAAAAGGCAGCCCGTTATGAATTAGGGTAATGATGGTCAGTTGTGCAGGGATGATGAAAAAAGCGAGAAATGGCTCAAAACCTTAGAAGTGAGATCTATTTTTCGCGCGTTGATTTCAGCGGTGATGGACTGTTATCGGTGCTGCCCTCTTCAATGATTACGCTCTTTGAGCTCAGCGACTAGAGTTAGACGGTGAAAGGATGGACGGACAGCGGCGGGCTTCTGTGTAAACGCACCTTAGGGGGGCTCGCGTGCGTTTCGATAGGTGTGTCTCCTGTCTGTCTTCTTCGACTTCCGTGGATTCTCCCTTATTGTTCTTATCCGCAATTGTTTCGTTCATTGTTGTGGAAATGTTTTTGAACTTTATGGGCTTGCAGCTTGCAACAACTTCTAATCCTGGTTTTCAGCCGACAGGCGTTTAACACTTTTTATCACACATGGTGGAGCTGGAAGTATGATGGAGAGCGCCCACCACGCAAAACCGCTTATTGTCGTTCCTTTGTTTGGCGATCAGAACAAGAAATGCGAAGCTCATTGAGAAGTATGGCTTCGGTGAGTTGACTGATAAAATAAGTTCCGCCAATCATCGCGCCTACCTTCTCCTGCGTATGTTGTTGTTGTGTGTTTAGGAGCTCATTTCCAGGAAGGGGATCTACCACTTTAAGGGGTAGCCGTGTGGTTAATTATTTTGTAAGAAATAGTCACTTGCAACAACTCATTAGGCTGATACCACAAGACTGGTACATCGAAGATTCAGGGGTGTACAAACTGTTGGAGCAGCAGAATTACCAAAATTTTCAGAATTTATAATTTGCGTTAACAGTCGCGAATCTTTGAACAACCTTTCTCTTTCACGTTCCCACGTCGTTCGAAGATAGGACTCGCTCCTCAAATTAGAGATGCGAATTCTTGTTTGCCGATGGCTCCTTAGATGCTTCCTCTGTAAATTCCTATCCTCAGGACACTCTTTCAAACCGCATTTTTCGCAATGTTTATGATGCCGCGCGTGAAAAAACTGAAATAAATTTCTGATGTCTGAAAATGTCGTTAAAACAGATATGTCACAAGCAATACTCATTGAAGGTATACTTTTGGAAAAAGGCCGCCTCACTGACAGCAACGTGTTACGCGAGGCAATCGAACAAATTCTCACTGATTTTAAGTAAGTGATAGTTTAAGTGTTAGCGTGCTTCTACTTTACTTTCTACCCGTCAGTACTGTCATAATGTTGAGGGAGAACCCAAAAACTCACATCCAGATACCAAACAGCAGCGAATCGAATCAGCCGGCTGCTGTCACGACGTCCATTTAGTCCTGAGGAGAAACTGGTGAAAACAGTCGAGCTTGCCGCCGAATTTGGAGATCTACCGGAGTTGAAGGTATCGGGAAGAAACCTCGGATATGTCGCCTACTATAACCTTGACCTACTATTTATTTTAGCAATGATTTTCGCCGCATTACTAAGTCCAGTGATATGGTATATGTGAGGATATTTAGGCACTATTTCGTAACAGCGAAAGTGAAGATTAATTGAAGAACGTGTTGTAAACAGATTTTCGGATGACAATTCTTTGAGTTTTTTCTTCAAAGCTGCAGTACTTATAAACTTCAAAGTTACGGTGATTACTTGCACATCCAAGATTTATCTGGGCATTGATCCAATACTTACACAATCACAATCAATCATGAGGAAACAATTCAGAGATGAGAATTCTCTAATCCTCTCCAATCTTCCCACTCCTGGTGTGGTCATGTCCTCATGATGCTGTGTCCAAATCGGCAAGGAATATAATGCGTCCAAGGGAACGATCCAGAAAGCAATGACGGTGCAATCTGAAATACGTTGCCGTCCTGATTGCGGCCGGTGCATGGAATCGGAACCATGGAAAACATTGGTGCAAAAACCATTCCTGACACAGTTGAAATCAACGCTAAAAAGGCGAGCAAGAAAGAAGGGTCGTCCGACAAACCCTGTCCGAGCCGGAGTATGTGTAAAACCTGTCGCGATTAACCTGCTCACACTAGACTAGTACTCACGCAGTCTATGGGCATTAAATACCAGTGTCAATCAACATGGGCAATCATTCCGTTTTAATTCAAGATTTGCGGGCTGACCCTCAATACCAATGGTATCGAGCGACACTCCTTTAGCTACAAGCCTTACATTTTTTTCGTCATGCGATGGAATTCTTAACACAGATCTGCAATCACCCTCAACAGTCCTCCAAACATCACCAACCAACCAACCACGTGTAGGAGAACCAGAATATTAGGTACCGGATATCTTAGTGTCGCTTTTCTGAGTTCAGGAAGTTTTGGGGCCGATTACTATGGAAAATCAATATCCCAGAAGGCAGTTTTTGCTCATTAATATTGCGAAATATGTTGCTTACCGTCTTCTATTGTTGGTTCACAATTTAACTTTCCCCCAATTTTTATACTTTCTTCTGAAAATTCCTGGGTCCAGTGTGCAAATTCGCATGTGTGTACCAAATGCATCAAAATTCTTGCTGAGAGCTGTAACCTCCGCCCACCAAACCAGCATTGCATTTGATGGAGGGAATACTACCATTTAAAATGCTCATCGGTTTTTCACAGTTTTCTTAAAAGACAGTAAAGTCTTTGAAGGGATGCCCGCAACCGTCGCCAAAAAGGTGGTCCTAGCTAAATCAGTCAAAACGGGGCTGCACCAGTCTTGTGCTGGAATGGTAGGACACCCTAGCAGTTACTGATCGATGGTGCACAGACGCTCTAACGAAGTTGATTGACCAAGAAATTCTAATAAATGTGCTCATCTGCTACTCACGTGTGCTCAAAAAGGGTGCGCTTTTTGACCCCACGTGGCAAAAAAGACTCCGGGAAAAATTGTCCAGTTGAGCTGGTAAGTAATAAATTTTCCACCAAACAGTGCAGACCCTACTCTAACTAAATGTATACATATTTTGTCCAGGCCCAACTGTTTAGCAAGGTAGAGGGATGATTTGTCAGATGATGTCAAATTCGACCTACCTCTCTTTTTCGTCTCAAAAAATTCCTAACTTTAATCGTACGAGGTTTTCACTCATACTGGTAAATGGGAAAGGGCTAATGAGTCATTCGATGGATATGCCGTTTCACTCACTGGATTTTGAATTAAAATATTGGTGGTCCGAAACTCGCGGTGAAAAAACGACACTAAGATATCCGGTACCTAATAGTTTGCTGTCCACGCGCAGGGAAACTTCTGATTTTCTTCAAAATCAACTTTTTGCAGATCTCTAGGGCTAACTAGAAATTGGAAAAAATGGTTCCAAAAAATTACTGAAACTCTTTTGAAGACCACTTTCTCAAATGAAACATTAAACACCCATAAATTTCTTGCAAAATTCTAACATACGAAAAGCTGCATAAATTTTTGAAATCTCTAAGATCAAGTGCTTTATAGCATGTGCCACATCATCCTGAGAGGTTCTGTCGGTCTGGAAGCATGGAAACCTTCCAGAAGATCTGCTCGCTCGTGCTCTCTGAAATATGAAGCAATTAATTTAGGAAGAACTCCTGTTCTTACTACAATCGCTGGCGTTACTAAATCGCTGGCGTAAGCCATGCATTCGGCAGTGGTGAGTAGTCTTAGGGGTAAGTCTGTCCTCCTTTGCCGTCTTTTCATGCCAGTAGTAGTGTTAGTACCTCAAAATTTTGGCAGTAGTAGAGCTGACGATCTTCCAACTTCTATTGGTCAAAAACCACTCCTTCGTTGTTTGGTGCACAAGGCACGATTGACCCTGGTAAAAGCCAGTCTCAAACCTTCCTGTCCCTCGCTAAAGGTTCCTCACGGACTTTTGGGGCCGATTTTGTAGGAGATCAATTTCTTGATATAAACATGGGACTTATTCGATCCTCCTCCAGGCCTTCCATTTTTTCTTCATCTTCCTCATAAGAAACATCCTAAAAGGGACCTAGTTGAAATGTATCATGTGTGCAAAATTGAACACGGGAGTAAAGAAACTGTGCCGTTGGAGGACAATGAATTCTTCTCTTCCCCAAGCCCTGGAGGAAGGATTGGATGCCGTTCATGGAGTAGATTTGAAATTTTAGTGGTTTTTAGTGGTTGGTGTCGTAGTGTAAGCTTGCATTTCAAGAAATAAATTAAAGTCAGTGTTTTTATCCTCCCAGACAAGTCTGGTACCAATTAACCGACCCCGGAGGGATGGAAGGCTTGGTTGGCCCGGGCGACTCACGACCCAGGATTTGATCCCGGACCGCTCGCGTGGTAAGCGTGCCACTTGCCACTACACCACTTCCGCCCGAAGAAGAAATAAATTAGTAACAAAAAATCAATGAATGTATTGTTGATGTGCTACTGTGCAGGCATGGAAGAAGATTGCGTCTAACATTTTTATGAGGTGCGCCGCGCATCTGCTTGCACTGGGAAGTGTGGAGGTGTCCCGGCGCTTTCCGTTTTATGCCGCCACGCCGAGGATTGAGAATGCAACGATTAGAATATTTCCAGTCGTCTACATTATGTGACGTTTTGGACTATCCAATCCAATTGGACACTCCAATAATTCGAGGATCTTTTCAAAAGAGAAGGGAAATGCTGAGTTTAGATAAAGTTCCGTCGGAAGAACGGAGAGCAGTTATGAAGCCATTCACCTTTCCTTCCACAATCGGTGGAGAGAACTCCAGAAGGGCAATAAACAAAGCTTGAAGCTATGCCCAGAATATTAATGCACATCTCTGGCCAGATTGTGGGTAGTTCATATAACATTCGAATAGCACTACCTGTGTTGAAGGCTTCCGTGTATGTGGGATCCTTTTGTGTACCTCTGCTGCTGACCAGGAGAACTTTCTGTTGCTGGATGATGGAAACATGGTTTCTTGGGCAGTCGGAGTCTATGGATGACTGTATTTCATCAGCTTACGCTTGGAAGTATCTTTGTAAGTAGAATACATACCTTCATACCTTTGAAATTTGGCTAACCTATAGTGTTCAGTGCGACGGAAGATACAAACAATCCCTGCGGTGATGAAACATGGACCGTCGTCGCAGTCATACATTATCACAGGAGATCTCGAAAATTCCTCCGTTGTACCGCTGCTATACGTCTTCTTACCCGATGGCACCGAAATGATGTATAAAACCGTACTCTTGGTTTTGAGAGGTCGGGTTGTACGTCTTAGCAGAGATGCCAGGAATGGGCCTGAAAGTGTGAGTTTGCACAGATTTCTCGAACAATTGCACTATCAAACACCTTCATTTTTCAGATGCTTCTTCAATTACACGCAGAGCATTCTGCTGCACAGTGATGAGGTCCACTTGCGTAACGCGGCTAATACCAACAGTCATACGGATGTTATTCCGCAGGATCTGGATGCTGCCGCTCCAATCACAAATTACATAAGCATATCTGAAGCAGAGCACCAGGTCCACCTATAGCTACCCTCCCCCCGGGAGCATCTTGCCATGATCGCCTTTT